AATAGATTAGCCGCTTCGTGCTTGCATACAAGCTTTATGCATCCCACATAATTACAATAATGATACAAGTAGACCTAATGATGTCATTAATTTCACATAATCTCGTTTCAAGCATTCCCGTCTGAAGTCGGACCCGAGTGGGTCAGTGTATAATGCCCATAAGTCACCGCTACGCCACACTACTGATGAGACCTGGACGAGGTGAAAAATGCAGTCCACTGCTGACAGGAAGAGAGCTATGATAGTTGAAATTAAATTAAGTCCCGATACCTAATTATGGGATTGTGGGAATATTTAACCATCAGTCTTCCTTCACCATATGCAAGCTAGGGTGAATATCCTCCTTACTCCATCATGATGGAAGCCGTCCCTTCTTTACCGACAGAAAGGAGCACTTGTGTTGGAATCTCCATTTCGTGTTTGGTGAATTTTGCTTGAACAATTGCTTCAAACTCAAAAAGTGCCTGTCTATAAAGGACAGATAAAAAAAATTCGGCCAGGAAAAATGCATCATGAGCTAATTTGTACAAATCAGCAATCACTATTGTCAATTAATCCTCATTCTGTATGAATCTCTTTCAGCAAACTTATACTTCGACATGAAGGGTCCAATAAGAATTTAGTTGCAGAAGATATGTAGAAAAACTGGATTTCAAATATTCCCTTAATACACTGACTTTAGAGTACCTTTCATTATGCTTGAAGAGGCGAGTGGAAGGGATTCGTAAGTTTCACACGCCACAAGTCGAAGGGGAATTGTCTTGGAGTTGTGACTGTAGATTTGTGCAAATAATTACTCCTTCTCGTTCCCATCGTCCCACTGTCTCGATGACTACTTGCTGAGATTTAGTCGGTCATGTGGTTGACAACATGATGTTCTGATCTGAAGATGTCTGCAAGAATTCATCTGGGTCGTAGGGCGGTGCGCCAAGGACCTAGTCACCCAAATCTGCAAGATAATCCAACGTAGATTTCCGGTGAGACCAACATACGAAATTAAAGATACATGAGATGTATTACCCCAGTTTCTTTTAAGGTGATGAAGTAGCGACAGTTAAATTTTCCCATAATTATATTAGAAGGTATGAAGACCAAGATGGTGTGGCCTTTTGGGTGGTCGCAGTCTCCTTTCGTTGTATAGAGCGACATAA